CCATACATCAAAATATGTGCAATTTATATACTAACCTATCCATGTCTGCACAATTGGTATTTTCCTGCATAAACAGGAATAAATATTATTATTATCCTGTGCCATATCTTCGCATTTCTTTGGACAGCCTTCCCAGTCTCCTGCAGCGCACGGGCATTTTTTGTCCCCATTCTTTCTATTCCTTTCATTGAGAGAAGACGCATCGGCTAACTGGCTTCCCGAAGGCTTTCACCAGCCTGCTGTGTCATTTTGCCTCTCTGGTTCCAGCGGAGAATAAGTTTGTTTATCATGTTTTTTGCACTTTTAACGTATTTCTTGTGTGTTGGAGTTTCTGTAGCAGTTTGATTGGTTTTGCGGGGTAGGGTAGCTAGCCCTGAGATCAACCCCCCACCCTTTCCCGAGCTTGGGGTCGGCTAGAAAATTGTCGAGCCATTAAACTATGAGAGGTAGCTATCCAGATAGGCCGGCTTTAATCTACCAATACTAGCATTATATATGAATCTGCCCCGTTGAGCCACTAAGTGTTTTGGGTGCCTTGCCGTAACATTGAAGTGTCCTTTGTATGACGTACGGACGGGCGGTTGTGTTTTATGACACCCTAGACATACATGGGAGCAGAAGTACCAATCCTTGTCTACATATCACGCTCCTGACTGTTTCCATGAGGAAATCGGCAGTAGGTTAGACGTTTGTAGCCTAGGTCTACCAACACATCTGGCCCTGTGAAGCCTGAAGTTATCAGTACCGGGACTAGCGAACTCTCCTGGTTATCTCGGAGTGGTTCCAAATACCACAGCTCAACATTGGGCGTCAGTTTTGTTGATGTTCCGATACCAAGCATCACTGTTGGTAGTATTCTAGGAAACCGGTCAGTTACTCTGCTTGAACGATGTCAACGTAGTTGAAGAATGAACGATCAATTAATGGTTTTTTACTCAAAACCAACCCCATATCTTGGCGGGAGTCACCGATACTGCAGTCATCGTTCTATCGTACGCTGTTCGTTAGAAGATGGAGAAATACTATCAGAAGTATTATTGTGATTAATTGTTATGACATTTATCCTTAGACTTTGTGTGTAATAACCTTGTGGTTGGTTCCATATTGCCGCAAGAATAACGGATCTTCGAGTCACCAATATGTGTTTTGTTTTTTCGCATTGGTTATTGCACATTGTTGCCGAAGATCTTCTAAGGACAGCGTTAATTTCAGCGTAGTTAGATCTGGACATTGAAAAACGGCTTCGAACTCGTTCCCGATAGGCTTCAACTAGAAATAACCCTCAGGATTGTTGTGTGGCTATTTGTCCTGTTAGATTTGAGCTTAATTCACACTACCCTCTGACCCTTTAGTCTACCTCACCTAACCTGGTGGCCAGACTGTTCTTAAAACTGCCGCAACTCGCGAAAGGAGAGTATAATTCTCGTGATTGCTCAGAGGTGAATTTAATGTCAATGGTGTGAATAGATTGTGGAGATACGCAATCACCCCACTACGCCAACACTTGGCTCTTTCTCATGGGAAATCACCATGTGTTTCAATCCGCATAGATAAAGAAATTCATTGTTGGCAGTGAAACAGCTGAGGGCCAGTTTACTTGACGAACTTCTTTAATCCCCTACACAGTTAGCATCCGGTGGTTGGGGTTAGAATGAAATTTCAGTGCAGACTACTGTTGTCGATGAGGCATTCTATCACCCCTGTTTGGTTGAGCGTAATATGCTGTGCATCAGATTCTGAGAGATCCCAGAGACTTCGACTAGTTTTTAAAATGCTCTGACTATAAGTGATTATTGGTTATTGTTATAGACACATTGAACACTGCTGAAAACATTATTTATGTTAAACTAACTAACATTTTACAAGCCATTTTCATACTTCGACCACATGTGACGCGGTCTTCAGTTGTTACGTGCATTTTCGACGAATCCAAACATTAATGGTTCCCCGGATTATATCGTATAAATTGTTTTTACCTATGTAAAATGTGCCTACTGATATTATTCCATTACCTTTCGTTATATATATATACTGCGTAAGTGAAAAATTGTAAATATGCTTACTCCATGTATATATTACTTATCATATTGATGATATCCATGCTGAAAATTCCACACTTGTACTGAAAATACGGTGTGGAATCAAGCTGTAAATCAAAATCAAAAATCAAATCAAAATGATGCCTGTAAACTGGCGTTCTTCATAAGCATAAAGTGAGAACATATTATTATTGTTATTACTACCCTCTGGTTTTGAAGATAAGCTTCTGCTACTATTTCAATAGGAATGTGGGCACAGGGGACCTGATTAACCTGGCAGTGCGTGTGAACAGGCAAGTGAATTACATAAACTATGACGAAGGACCTACCACTGCACGCGAATGCAGGCAAAACGAATATCCGGTTGCAGAATGTTGTGGTAGACACCAGCTAGATGTATTTTAATAAATATTGAGGCGCCTGGATGACCATTAGTAAGGTCACGAATGTGAGTAATCGGTACCTGTTTTGGATGGCTTGCCCATTCAGAGCTAGGCAGTCACCGCAAGGGCGCCAGTCAGTCTGGTTTTTCTTAGAGGCCATGTGCTACGGTGAAGGCAATTGACTGTTTGAGGGTAGCATTATCCATAAGTGAAGCATGCAGTCTAATTCCGCGCCATGCCAGGCGCTAATTTTCCGGATTTTGCGAAAATTGAGAGTCCATGTAGCCTCAGAGAAGTAATAGCTTTCGGACAAACCTTGGGAGTTGGAAGATTGGTCACTGCTAGATATGGGAAATTCTACTACTGATTTAGAGAACCTTCCCGTTCACAATGTCGAGGATCGGACTGGATTTAATGAATGATGGTCGCTCGCTTTACCATTCATATACCTGTAGGGCACTTCAGTTGTTAAATATTTCTTCCGGGTATCCACTAGTAGGAAATGACTTGTTGGGAAATCGAGGCCAGGATTGCCAGGTTTTAGTCATAGACAGCGAAAGTTCATAGAAACTGTCACTTAAAAAGTCAAGTGTCAACTTTCCGACACAAAAATGGTGATCTGGTTTTATTTTGCGGTCTACAGCGTGACAGGGGACCTACTTCGTCACGTTTCGGGCGCCTTTTCCATCATGATACTGGAAGCAATCACTGTCACTCAGGAGGCCTATAACTGATTGTTTATCTTAGATGTTGAATAGACGGCTGTCCACGCCCCTTTTCTCATTAGTCGCTAACATTGCACGCCAAGCGATCTACTTCTATTACCCTGTTCTAGCTGTGCTTGTGCAAGTATTCTTATTAATGATGAAGCGTTAGCCACAGGTTTGGAGGTTATTGGGTTGTTGCCCATACTTGTGTGGTTCACCCACCTTTCTGCTAATCGTCTCCCCTCCAGCACTGTACCTGCTATGCATGCCAAGAGTTCAAGAGAGAAGGATGCATCTCGGATGTCCAATGTCTATTGCACATGCCCCAGGAAAGCCTAAATCATGTCTTGCTTTAGTACAGCCTTCCCCCCATGATGCTGCCTCCCATAAAGTGTTGCAAGTTGGGTAAGGACTGCTGGGAATGTTTTCCTCTCGGAGCAGCCATTGTATATGCTGGTTTTCAGATAGAGAGGTGTCTAATCACCTCACGCCTAAACATGACGCATGGTTGTTTGGGTGGGGGATGAAGTTCTCGCACATCCTTGCTCAATCGATAAGGTAATCGAGAACACATATGCCTATACCTGGTTGCCACAGACTTCATACCTCACAGGTGGGAGTAGTGCCTCGGTTGGGTCAACCATTGCTCCAGATCACGTCTATAAATCCAGCTGATCCAAGTTTGGTAGCACACCAACGAACAAAATTAAGCTGGAAGGTACGTGGGTATAAAAAGATCTCAAAAAGCAGCCAAAAATCGAAAAAATATATTAGTCTTGGTTAAAGGTCTCACCAATTTAGCAGCCTATCCTTCTGTGACAATAATTACCTAAACTGCTGACGGATAACGCGTATAATGAACTGACGTATTTTGAACGTTTATTTTGAAAGCTGGCCGGTAGGTAAGAGAATTAGCGGAACTCAGTCGAACAGTCATAAGGGCACTGATCATTAAATACCGATCTTAGATGAAGATTCATACAAGTCATTAAGAAGATATAATTATTGCTTGGTTACTGTTCTTGTCCTTATGCATTCTTCAATCACTAACTACCTTTGAGCATTCATGGAGTTCTTTATTGCAGGAACCTTGCCTCATTATCATGATTTCTCGAATTTCCAGTGGATGAAGATAACTGAGGAGGCTTAAACAACTCAGAAACCTCAGATTCATGGCTATTCCAAAGGATGTACAATGCTGACACCAAATTACCTGAATTTTCTTGGGTAGGGACGCAGATATAAAACTGATAAGTCCCAAACTTCTTTGTAATGGTGTTAGTGGAAATTATATGTCAATTTTATATTTATAACCGGAACACTTTGTTGTGCACCAAAGACCTGAGGCATTTTGACTCCATGGATGTAATATTCCTACAGGATAGTGAGATATTGGGACACTTTTTGAGGACAGTAGAGGCACCTTAGTGGTGAGGTTATGACACATAAGGTCCTATTACCATAAATTAAGGTCATTTCATACACTGCTGTTGTTAATGTTTACTAATTTCTTAGCTTTATGCATTGAACAAATACTACCTCTCCAGCTCTCTCTGACCATTATTCTGTGATCACCCCATTTGAAAGGCACTTTTAGAACACCATACATAAACTTAGTGATCATAGAAGCCCTAATTACAACCTGCCCTTTTCTGTAGAATTAAAAATGAATTTCTATCTACAAGTCTAAGCAAGGAACTTCTACCTCAGTGTTCCAGGTCGATGGGTGAGAATTAACCAGGTTTAAGAACATATGCTAGTAAGAATTTTCATAAGCTAACATGAATCTTGCAGCCACTTATTTAATTCACTTTGGATTTTGAATATTTGGTTATCCTTCAATTTAGAATTGTTTTAGTTTACAATCAATAGTCCTTTGGCGATCTTTTAAATTCCCTAGAATTGAAGATGATTTTTTTATACCTAATGCTTGGATGTTTATATTAGGACTTTACATTTGATGTAAAATTCGTAAGTAGTACTCTTTTATTCTGTTGTTTTTTCGGCATTTCAAGGAAAATGACCTCGAAAATATTTGTTCACTATATGGGTATTATATGCACATAGATCATTCATAGTTCGCTATTTTAACTGTGTGTATGTCATTTACCTAAGTTTGGTTTAAATCGGTGTTTTGATTAGTTTTTCGCCGTCAGATAAGAAATCAGATGTGATAGATCATCACTGCTATTGATCACAAAAATATCTCCCTTTTGATCAATTGCATTTTGGATGCCGGTACACAGTAGTCAGTGCTTCTTTCTAGATTTAAAGCATTTGCATACCTAAACAAAACTTACTGGGTTTTGTAGAATTCTTAGGTCTTAAAAAGTCAACAGTTACTTAGCTTTTATTCACACGATAGTTTTTTGCAATTGGGGGTATTTCGTTCATATGCTTATGGGATACTGTTCACCAAGGAGTGCAGCAAGATAGTGCTGCGTTTGGGAATCACGATTTGATCTCCCCATTCATTAGCCATCTTGGACTTAATAGTTGTTTGACACCACTATGACTTACTATTATCGTTCATTTTAAGTAATTTACATAACGATTGTAGTAAGTATTGATAGCATCTTCAAATCTTGGAGGTACTAAGCTCAGCCTGTGTTAAATGCTATGCAGTGTGCTGCATACGGTAGCCAGTCCTTTTTAGAGAAAGAGGCAGGCACTCTGAAACAGTTGCATGCAGCAAGCACCAAGTTAGCAGCATTGCTTCTGTTTCTGACTATTATACATGAGTTAGTACATGTTCTCAGGTTCAGAAACTTTATTATCATGCATGAAATTGCTGGGTACTTCCAATCGGGTCCTTTTTCAACTTGAAAGTTCCCAACAATCGGCTAGTTATAGTTACATATTTGCTACGTTCAAAGTAGTAAGGTAGCAAGGTGGAGTGTTATGTAAATTGCTCCACTTTTGAATGCGTATTGACACTGATGTAACTAGTTGGGTTAACGAAAGCCAGGAAAAGTTCCGATGTGTCACTTCCTTTAGTCACTAGGACAATATACTTATATAAGTCAAAACAAAATGATGTTAGTCACACCATCAAGTTATGGGGTTTATTTCTAAAGACCTTCAATGCTTTTTAAGAGCTAGTACTGAATAACTCGTTTGAAAAGTCTCATTTTTCGTGGTCTATATCAGCAAAATGAATTATACTTCGCCTTTGCCTTCTTTATTGCCTTCCCACCTGTTTTTAGAATCATTGTAGTTGCTATTTGGATTTCGTTAATAGTTATTGCTGGTTTTATGAGACGAATAAATTAAGCATGACTGCTGTCACATGATATTGACTAACAGAGTTGATGATACCTTCGTTTCAAGGGTGGCTAGTTTTGCACTAGCAAGTAGATCAGCTTCCAGTATGGAGAAGTCCTAGATTGAAACAGATTTCAAACTTAGATTTTTATGAGTATCTCTGAGCCTAATATAATCATCGAACAACAGTAAACCTCAAGATTTTCACCGTTGTCATCATCAAGAGTGACTGCCAACTTTTGGTTGGTTATATAGCCCAAAACCCGACACAGTCGCCCAAGTTAATTAATTTAATATCAGAATTCTTAATACTTAACTTTCATTGACGTTTCTTCTGTCAAACTGACCTGATGCATTTCTCTTCATGGTCCTTAGTTGATTTGTTTTGGCATTTATTTATATTTCATTCTGCTGGATGGCTTCTACGATGCCTCGTTTTGACATGCGATGGCTGGAATTACATCTTTGTTCTGAATTCCTATATTACTTCTACAGGATGTTCATGCAATCAGTAACTGGCAAAGTTAAAGAATAGTGACGTAAGCTAACAAGCGCACACATGAGCTTGAAGCGGTTTCCGTAGGTAGGAGCAGTGGAGCTCATTAGAAATGATGGAGGCTGTACAGGATTTAGAAGACATCCAGATAAGCGTCTTAAGCGGAACTCTAACAAATAATTCTTAATTACATCTTCAGTTTGATGCCAACTGTATATCGTTACGCCGTGAGTATCTGGGAGTTATTCTTGCAATGTTTTAAATATTGGGGTCCTGTTTAACATTCTTACACTTTAAGCATTTTTCCTGAATAGACTGTTTCTAACTCAAATTAGCTTGGTTTTCTCTGGCTCTCCAGGGTGACTCGTGTGGATCACCATTCTTTAACTGATTTAAGATGAACTTTTGGTGCACCAGACTGATGATACTGAAGTAATTTGGCGGAATTTGTCAGTGAATCACATAACCTCAAAACACTGAATACAAACAATCTTGTGTAGACAACTATCTGAAGTGCCGACTAAACAACAAATTAGGCGTGTAACACAACTGTTCGTGTCGTAGCATGGTACATTGCCACTCTTACACGCCATTTAGTACTTACTTCACTAACGTTTCAAGCACTTCTGATGGTTCAGACAAGTACATGTATTACATGCTTCAGTATTGCGTAGTGAATACCATACTTTCAGACACGAGTAACCAGTACGTGGAGTTTTTTTGTATATCCACTTCATTAGGTGAGTCGATGTTCACTGACCATAAGATACCATTCTCTGGAGTAGAGTGCTTATCTAATTGCTCTGTCCAATATTCCAGGCGTCGTTAAAGGTTACTGGTTTGCGTGACGTATGCTTCGTATGATTTCATTGTCACCATGTTTTTTGTGTGCTAGTGGCTCGCTTGTTCTGGGGGAGGGAACAATCATTTTGTTGGTAAATCCATCTGTTGTTTATATTTCACTTCCACGTTTTAATCGCTAGACGTTTTCGAATTCTCCGTAGGTAGCGTATGATTTTAGGTCTACAAAATTAACACGATTATTGTACTAATTATCTACCTGAATGAATCCATGCATCAAAATAAGTTGCAAGAACTCCACAAAAGCCTGGCCTTTCCACTAGAACTACTATCTTCTAAGTTGATGTCTACATCTCCATCTTCATGACGTGTAGTAAGTGTTTTTAGCTTTTGTATGCACTGTGTGAAGGGTCTGGATCCTAGTCTCGGTTAGATTTCTAACTGTACTCGTAGGTGTATTTGATTTTACATCAATTAGTGAGGAAGGGTAGCTGTTCAAACTCAGTTCTCGGGACAGGATTTTCATGTTTCAGGCTATGACCCACGCTTATTGTATGAGGAGGGCTGATGATACTATGCAGTTGTCCAGATTGAAGTAGGTAGAACGAGATTCAAGCCTTGAGTCGAGTGTTTAAGCCAATGAATCATCTCCCACATGACTGATAACTATCAACAACAAGTCTTGATAAGTATTCAAATCAGTGTTCTAGAATAAGTGAGACGTGCATATAGCTTTTTTTGGCTTGTGACTGTGAAAAATAAGTTATAGGTATTAGGATTTCTACTGTTTGCAACTGTCGTCTTCCAAAATGTGATCCAGAAGAATTTCGAATACTGACTTAATTAGTCGAGTTTATTGCAGTTATTTAATTGACTTTTCTATATGTGAATGATTAAACTCAGAAACTTTGATCACAACGCGTTTTATTCACCTAGTAGTTTTTCAAAATAATACACTTTTTTACAAATTCTAATTCAATGGAGATTAGTTGCAGTTCTAAAGAACTCATCTTTACCGCCTTCTAAAAAAGAAAGCGATATGCAGTAAAGTAATCGAAGGTATGGACAGGCCGTCTCAGTCCTTAAGGACTGATTATTTAAAAAAGTTATGGTGCGGATTCCAGTGGTATCTTTAAAACTTTTCACCTGATGTCATATTAAACATCGGAAAAATATTCGATAACCCATCGAAAGACGTGTGTATTACGCAGCAGTTCACTCTGTTCTACTTAATTGTTGTAAAACATGGCTGTTTACAATGAAGGTAACAATTTACATGTTTTAGCTATAAGCATGTTCAAATGCTCACTTTAGTTGGTTCCACATGAAAAGTAAATATTGCTAGTTAGTGGTAGGTGGAACATAGAGCTTTAAGCTAGAGGCTTGAAGTTTCGGTAGCAGTGGTGTTTCTATTTTTACGGGATGGGGTTGCTAGCCTCATGCTCAACCTTCCCTCCTTACCAGTCTTATTACTGGTTCGGCGAGGTAAAGGAGTGCGTTGGTGGCCGGGGATCGAACCCTGGGCCACATGAGGCGTGGTTGGCGAGCATTCTACCATTGTGCCACTGATGCACTGAGTGAATCGAAAAGGATTCGGATCTCCACCAACTTTAGTAGCTGAGACCCTTGCTACACACAGAGCCACTGACTGAAAAGACTGGATGTAACATCAATCTATAAAGACTGTGGCCTTTAGTGTGGGGAGCATGTAAAAAGATGTGGCTTGTCTGGAAATTTACTAATGTGTCACAGTGGTTGAAAACTAATTCATTGTCATTTTCGAGATCCCCGGCATTTTTAAGTGATTTGCTCCCTCATAGTCATGTTGCTCTGTCGTATGTGGTATAATTACATTTTTGACGCGGCAACTTAAACTGATGCATTTCTATGCTATGCTCTACGTTAATCCGTCTTCCAGGTATGTGAAGAAGACCCATCAGTTGTAATTAATCTTTACCGGGTATTTTGCTTCCAAGAAATCAGCGTGGTGTAATTTCACGTCTGTTTATTCTCTAAATCATTTCCTTGAAACTTTCTATAACTGTATCACTGTAGTACTTCAGTAATGTAAAGCCCTGTATTCATTCATACTAAGTAGTGATTGTCACTCATGTATAAAACATTTTGATTCGTTATGTAATCTGCCTAAATCATGATGTTTTGTATCCTGTTCCTGGAACAGGTTTTCCATGATCCAGGCTATGAGTCATACTTGTGAGGTTTGGTAAAATAGCTCAGTAGTTTAGGCAGAAGTAGGTGGGGTGGGATTCAAACCTGACACCTGTCTGAAAGTCGAGTGCTGAAACCAAGGAAGCACGCCTGCAGGATTATTTTGTAAATTTGTTAGAGGGAGTGCGTGCACACTTATGTCAATGACTTTGCTTTATGTCGTAAAGATTCTCTAACCACTGATTCCTAGCATTTTGATAGCTTCAATCAGTGGTATCGACTTACACTTTTACTTTTCTAAGATTACATTTCCTCTTAGTTTTGCTTGCCTTGTCACTTCAATGAAGCAAATACACCTACTGTTAAAATCTTGTTTGTGGGATTGTCAACAAACGAGATAGGCGAGTGCTTTCATTGGGAATGTGGCTCAGTCATTTTGAGCTGATTATCGTTCTAATCTTGAGTAGAACTGTAATAATACTGACTGACTTTTCTGAGTGAGAGGTAGATAGAAAATAAACCCATGACTCAGTTTGATGAAGTAAACACCAGAACAAGCATAAGGTAAAATCTAGGGGGTGAAGAAGTGACTCATTGGTCGAAGCATTCGACTTTGAACCAATGCGTCTTGGGTTCGAATTCGGCTGCACCCATCTCAACCTGAGAGCAGTTGAGCGGTTTTCCATCAGCTCTCACACAATGTATGGCTCATAGACTGGTACATGAACTATCTGTTTTGAGTAATAGTTCTAACTGAAACATTGGAGTGCTGGAATTCGTGTTGACATACGTCATGTCAGCACATTAACATCTTGGTTTCTAGTGGATTCTGTTCCATATAACTTTTTTTGCTTAAGACTCCTTACGGAATTTGCTTTGAAGCTTTATAAATCGATTTATGGTATTATAGTTTCGAATCTCATTCAATGCATGAAAATTTGTCACTGAAGCAGTTTTATTTGTATATACACGGATGTATATATTAATTAAATGGCTAACAGTGCAATTCAGTATGACTGACTGATTGAGTTGCAATGTAGAACTTTGCACAAAGTCCAGCAGTTCAACTTGCCATACTCCATATAACCTACAAAAGTAGAGAAAAGAGAGAGAGAGAAAGAAATTCAAAAGAACTACAATAAGCAGAATTGTGCGAGAGAAAAAATAGTAACACGGAAAAACTTGAGGATATAATGAACCTAAGAGATTACTGTACCGCTGAGATCAATTTATGGCCATATCACCAACATTCTCAATTCATTGGTTTGTAGCATTTTGACGTGACTGGCTCAGATCAACAGTCAAAGATTTCGCGGACTGATACTACATTTTGATTCGGCCACCCCTAGGTGTTTTCCAACCTAACCAGTTCTATGTCGGGCAGTGGTTCGCCTCGATTCGATGTAACTTCACAACCTCATCGATTGACTTTTCTTTCTTACCTAGCTACTATTTTACTATTTTGTACTCCAACCTAGTTAGTATTATAATATTATGTCTCTTCATTTAGGTTGTTGGACGGTTTAAAACGTTTTATTTTTTTTATATCGTTGAATTGAATCCTATTTATCTTCTTTTTAGAGATTAAATTGAAATAATTTTTTTCTACAAAAAAGAAGGTAAGAAAGAAGGTGAAGAAGAACAATTATGTCGAGTGGTGGAGCAGCTAGTGTAGTCACAATGAAAGCAACAGCTGCCTTTCCACAGGCTAATTCACAAGCACAGAAACAACATTCCCAAAATAATTTACAATTAACTAATGCAACATTTGATCAACAAATTCAACTGCAACAACAACAACAACAGCAGCAACAACAACAACACTTACTCCAACAACAACAACAGCAGCAGCAACAACAGTTACAACAACACAATCAAAATCAACACTCCGCCCAGCTGCATCGATTATCTCAGCCTCATTTATCCTCACCTATACATCCAGCTCAATCGGTTGCTCAGAATGTTGTTACTGGTCATCCTACGCATCCAAGTGTCTTCCCAAATGCTGAATTCTTTCAAACTTTACAACAGACAGCAGCAGCTGCCGCCCTGCCCACAGTACTCCCGTATGATCAATCACAGTATATTGGACAGTTAATGTATTTCCCATATCCGACAGCTGCAGCAGCGGCTAATGGATTGTTTAGCGCTGCACAGACCACTGATAATCATCATATGTCATCCACGCCTGGTTCACAGGCGACAATTATTAATCAAGCATCGTGTAATGCTGCTGCTGCAGGACAATTATTAACTGGTGGAATTGTCTCTGCAACACCCGGAGGAATGATGACACTGAATAATGCTGCTGCTGCTGCTGCTGTGAATGCTTCTAATCAAATGAATAATGCTAATCATTTGTTTGCTTCTAGTGCTGGTATAGTCGGTATAGGAGCAACAGCAGTATCAGGTCAGAATACTGTTTCAGTTAGTGGTAATTCAGTAGCATCAGCGTCTTTAGCTCCTTTATTTACAACTGCTCATTTTTATCCACATCATACACAACAGACAAATCAACAACAGCAACAGCAACAACAACAACTTCAATTACAACATCAATTACAACAACACCAACAACAACAACAGCAGCAGCAACACCAACAACAGCAACAACACCAACATCCACATACTTCTGTACATATGCAGCATGTTCAATCACTTGCAGGTCATGCAGGTATTCATTTACAACAGCAACATCAACAACAACAACAATCAGCTGCTACCACTGTTCTACTGCCTAGTTCTGTTTCCTCTGCCTCCCAGTTAACTATGCTCTCCTCACAACAACAACAAAATCATCAACCGGTGCATAATAATAATAATAATAATGAAAATTTACAAAAATCTGAAGAAAAACTACAAGCCACACCAGCGCATACACCACAGAAACAAGGTGATCAAGAATTAATGTCCCAATCGAATCAATTAGGTACACCATCACAAGGGAATAATAGTAGTTTAGATGCTAGTTCAACAACAGTTAAACGTGATAATAATGGTACAGGACATTTTGTGTAAGTTTTTGTTTTCTTCTGTGTTCATACTCTTGCATGTGTATATTTTTATGTACCATATATTTATCGAGTATGCAAAATTTTTCCAAGGGAGATAGATGCTCGTAGTTTCCGTCTCCTCAGCAGTACAGACTGCATGACGGCCCCCAACCCATGAGAGATTGAACCCCGGGTCTTCAGGTTACACGATGAGCTCGTAAACCATTCAGTCCATCAATTCTGACTTCTGTTAGTTCGTGGTAGATAGCCTGAAAGTCTTGGGTTCGATCCTTGGTGGATGCGTGCGTACTGGCAAAGAGTCTCAAACAGGAACAAAACACTCTGTCCACTACTCCTCTCTGTCTGTTTTCGACATAGAACTTTGCACATATGTGCGTCAGTTCAAGTCGCCACACTCCATGTAGGACAAAAACCAAGAGAAGAAAGTAGGAGAAATGCATAATATAGACAGTAAACAGAGGTGTGAGACAAAGGTATAGTAATAAGGAAGAACAAAACAGTTTCATTGGAAATCATAAGTCACAAGGAGTGGATGCAGCTGCACTAGCCATTGAGAACGATTTTGAGCCATGTCACCAATTGTTTCCAACCATTGGTTTTTACCATCCTGAGGACCCCAACCAGGAAGTCTACACCTTCCTACGTGACTGGCTGGCTTAAACTAACTGTTGTTGATTTCATTGACTGATACCATGTTTTGGTTTGACCGCCAGTCTGACCCTATGTCAGCTAACATTGCCCGTCGAGGAAGGCGATGACTAGGCATACGTAACACATGTCCCAAACATCTCAATCGGTGTAACTTCACAGCCTCGTCGATTGATTTCCCCTCCTTACCTAGCACTCGACTGAAGCCTAACCTCAATATTGCTCACCTTATGATGCCACTTCACGCGGGAGATAGAACGTCCACTACTCCCAGTACTGCTTATCAATTGTTCTTCAACTAAAGTCAATGCGTAATCAGTCATGACATAGGTTTATTTTCCTTTTTTCCTTCTAGAAAACAGTCTGATTCAGAAGAACTTTAAATACAACATCGATGAAGGAATCTGACAAATTCTATAGTTTTAATTACACAATGGCTTTTACTCTTGACTACCCGTAGCTCCCCGGCCCTGCTCCACGTGGGTGCTTCAATCCTTGCCAACTGAATAGTGTCATCTGCTCTTAGCCTACTCTACACAACTTATTACCCTTCAACTAGGTGTAGCTATATTTACTGGGTCTTGTGTGTTTCAATACTCTTCCATCTATTTTGGTTCGGTTGGAGACATTAGTGTGATAAGCTTTATAAGCAAATCATGTGTGTATGTGCATGATTTGGTAGTGGTTGGAAGGAAGTGAGTGCATGGCTAACAAACAAGTCTACTGTCAAGACTGATAGGAATGTATCTGTAATCCTTTTAGAACTTACATCACCGATGTACTTGCTACTACAGCGCTCTGTATAACTATAAACAGCGTTACTGAGGTTCCATCGATTAAGATTGTTAGGACATGTGTTACGCATTCCTAGCCTAGCCTAGCCGTCGATCGCCTTCCCCGACGGGAAATGTTAGCTGACTGACAGAGGATGGATCAGGTTGGAAAAGGGCAAGCTAGTGGTAGTCAAGTCAAAACATGGGTTCATCAGTCGATAAAATCCATAACAGTCAGTTTAAGCCAGCTAGCCACGTCGATCGGTCGGTCGGTTTTCGACATAGAACTTTGCACATATGTGCGTCAGTTCAAGTCGCCACACTCCATGTAGGACAAAAACCAAGAGAAGAAAGTAGGAGAAATGCATAATATAGACAGTAAACAGAGGTGTGAGACAAAGGTATAGTAATAAGGAAGAACAAAACAGTTTCATTGGAAATCATAAGTCACAAGGAGTGGATGCAGCTGCACTAGCCATTGAGAACGATTTTGAGCCATGTCACCAATTGTTTCCAACCATTGGTTTTTACCATCCTGAGGACCCCAACCAGGAAGTCTACATCTTCCTACGTGGCTTAGACTGACTGTTGTGGATTTCATTGACTGGTGCCATGTTTTCGTTTGACCGCCGCTAGCTCTTTTCCAGCCTGGCCCTGTATCAGCTAACATTGCCCATCGAGGTGTAGGGAGGTTTAGACTTCTAGGCTGGTTGGGTTCTTCGGGATGGTGAGGACCAATGAAGGCTGGAGACAGTTGGTGACATGGCTCCAAATCGTTGTTGTCAATGGCTGGCGCGGATGCATTCACTCTTTGTGATTTATCATATCCAATAAAATTCTGTTCTTCCATATTACTAGTATTCTTTTTTCCTCACTCACACTTCTGGTGATTATCTGTCTTGTGGATCTCCCTTTCTTCGCTTGCTTTGTGTGCTATATGGAGGGAGTGTGGCAAGTTGAACTGTTGCACATCTGTGCATAGTAGTTTTATGTTGAAACCAGTCAGTCAGTTAGTCATTACTCAGGTTGTCATTCGTTTATTATTCATTTTTATATCATACAAAATAATGCGTCATTAACCAAATAGCTCTCATCGGCTTCAGCTGTTGTTTCAAAATACGCTTTAGGTATCATTCATTAATGATGGATGTAGGCTGGGTTTTTTTTCAAGCGATGAGTAAAATGCGACATACACGTTGCAGATTGAATCAAAACGCTTTTAATTGTCTTCTAATCAGTTGGTCATTATTATTATTATTCCTACCTCAAAATACAGTCATATTCTCCGTGTATGTGTTTTAGAAAATATTTCTTACATTTAAAAGAACAAATTAGCCAGAATTTCTGTGGTTTCAGCTGATCCGGCTCCGTGTGAGCTATGTTGAACCACGTACACCGCCTCTAGTGTGCTCGACCCCACAGGAGCGAAACGGCCGTCCGGTGATGTTTAGATATCACTTCGATGCTATGTCTGGCTAGCAAGCACTACTAGTTGATGTGAGTGGCATCCAACTACTCATGCCAAGCATTGAGTAGTATATAGTGGTATGAAACTGAATTTAATAATTCTCATGGAGAAAATGAAACAGTAATGGTGTAAAGCATGATTGTAACTCAAAGTCATGAAGTGTAGTTGTGTACCCCTGTCTTAGCCAAAATATGTCATATCAAAGATAATACTTTCTGTGTCTAATTCAGAACAATTAGAAAGGGAATGGAAAATACACTTCTGGTTATTCAATGCACTTTAGTAGTAATGAACAAGATTGCGTTCAATGGATAGTGGAGTTAGTCAGCTGATTGACCTGCTAATACCAGTAAACTAAAGTCTACCAATCACAGAACGTTGCGTGGGCGTCACGCTTGCTAATCTAGTGCAGGCAACTTATACATTGTCTGATTGGTGGATTTCGCTTTGTTGGCATGAGGGCTAATCAGCTGATTGTATGATAGCCTTTGTTCACTGCTCAAAATTGCACATGATAATTGAACGAGGTTCTAAATAATTAGTGTAATGTCAAGCCTTAATCGGTATGTGGCTGGTATCTCAGTCGATAGAGCTAGAGAATTAACTAGCTATGCGGTTGGTCTATAGTTCAAATTCTACTGTGAGTGAGATCCAAAGATTTTTTTTGATTTCCACTTCAATCGTCATCATTATCACTGAATTGCATATAAAATCAATTTTCGGGTTAAATTAATTTACTTCTACTAATTAAATTTTTAGATGTGGTGTATGTGGTCGAGAATTTGGTATGCGATGTCGTCTTATTGCTCATACTCGACGCCATACCGGTGAACGTCCATTTCCCTGTGCTGACTGTGGAAGAGCTTTTTCAGATCGAGGTAATTTACAACGTCATCGGTATACACATTCAAGTCAGCCCAGATTCCATTGTACAGTTTGTGGCAAATCTTTTCGTCAAGTAAGTTCAATTAAATTTTGTATTTTATATTCTGGAATAAAAAGTAATTTGTAATTATTTTTTCTTACAACTCTGTCATACACTTCAATTGTGCGTCGGTGGCACAGCGATTAGGACTCTCGCTGACCATGCACATGGTCCGGGGTTCGATCCCCTGCTGACGCACACCTGATATCAATGGTCGACATCACATGCTGAAAATTCCATACTTGTACCAAAAATCCGGTGTGGAATCAGCTATAATCAAAAATAAAATTAAAAAAATTAAAAATAAAAACATTCTGTCACAAGCCCCTGGTACCTTAGCATCTCGAGGACCCCCCTAACCGGGCAGTCGAAGACTTCATAGGTTAATGCCGCGTTTTACTTTGACTACCCTTTACTCTTTTCCAACATAGCCTTATCAATGACTAATATTGTTCATCAGGGAAGCTGTTGGCTAGGCATGTGTCCTAGACATCTCGATCGATACAGTTTCACAACCTCATCGATTGATTTTCCCTCCTCACCTCTAACAATCTACTCATAGTCTTATTATGGATGACCATATTATACGAGTTGAGTGAAGCAGATACTCATTTCGGAGAATTCATTCACTTAGCTGTACAATCGCATTTATATGTAATTATTTTGTGTATGTGTACGTGTATACATTAGGATTGTCAGACAAAAATAAAAATCAGTTAAGGTTACCGTTTACGTCATCAGAGTGTTTCAAAAATGTGATGAATAATCAAATTGTAACTGGTGGGGTGGGGTGAAGAACAACTCATCTCTCTGCTGAAGAAGATGCTATACATGAATGTGGCGTTCAAAGGTGACCTACTGTCCGATATCCTAAGAAGAGGATAATATTTAACGCTGTGAAAATAACATTCTCTGCTGCTACATTAGGATTGGTATTCTCTTGCCACTGTTCTCCATTGTTCTTCAACAACTCCAAAGATCAACTATCACATTTGACTACTTCTATACGTATCTACCATTTTATTTGCTCATAAAGGAGCGAGATATATAGGTCGTTTGATGCATGTCTCATCTAAAAGAGTCAAAGAACATTATCCCGCCTGGTTACGAAAACGGTAACAGTGGATCAATAAGAAGTGTTGTAATTGAACATATACTCAACACTGGTCACTCAATATGTCTAAGGAGAATTCATTTAAAGTCATCTGCAAAGTGAAAAGAAGCCTCCCGCTGGAAACGGGAAGCTTCCGTATACACTCTGCATTACCGAGGAGGCCTTAGTGATCCGGAAAGAAAGCCCTGATTTATGTACGCAGAAGAAACTTCTCGACCCCCTCCTTCTACCTTGGGTGGTATAATTCCAAGTTTTAATACTTTGTTAATAATTGTGCTTTTGAATGTTTGCATGACTTCTTAGTAACATCTCTTTTCTTAACCAACCATTTATTTACTCTTTCTACCTATTACATAATTTATTTTGAACACTTGTCTCCATGCTGTTTCATTAACATCTTATTTTTCTGGGTCTTCCATATTAATTCATGGAAAATTCCCATTATAACATATAGAGAATCAAAACAAAATGGGGATTCAGCGAAGAGACTCTTTTCAACGAATTTATCATCAATCCGTACAATCGTATATATATGTTTTTTAAGAAGTTATATCCGATGAGGGAATTGAATCATAGTTGTGAATGCATAAAATAATAATAATATTATGAAATGTAATTAAATATTTGTGATTATAATCATAGTTAAATGTCGAGTGGCAAAACAATTAATGTCTATATATATATAGAATAATTCATAGGATGTATAGAACTTGGAAAGGGTGTGCAATTATAGGATCAGTAGACAAATCGAATAAAATAAAAACGTTACGTAACAGACATTGTGTGAAATTTGATAGCATAGAATTTAACGTTGTAAAACAGATTTGATTTAGAATGACAAGTGGAACAAGTGAAATAATACCGGGGACTGTTCAAAGTGAGAACAGTATTAATAGTAACAATTGACTTAATAAAGGAAGAGTATGCAAAATGAATAGACAAAATGAAAGATTAGTAGAGCCAAATATGATTAGGGATTACCATACTCTAGCATAGAGGAGGGATTAAGACCATGAAAGCTGGAGGGGTTGAACGAACTTTTTCTGTACACAGAGATCTGGCTTTTCTGTTTCGATAGCCAAAGCTTCAGCAATGCAGATGAGTCGGGTACGTAGTGATTTCGGTGAATTACTTTTTTGCCTCGTAGATGACTTTAAAGGTGCGGAGGCTATAGAGGTAGGGTGATCATTATTGACCAGATGTTCAATAGTCGCGCTTCTTATCGCCCCACTCCCACCTCTTCGTAACCATGCAGGATAGTTTTCTTGCACCCTCTTGGACAAAATCGAGTCGAACGACCGACCCTTGTCAATACTTATCAATCTTCACCCCACTCACCCCCCTAGTTACAATTTGATTATTCATCACAATTTTTGGAACATTTTGATGACATAAACAATAACCCCGGCTAATTTTTATTTTTGTTTGACAATCCTAATGAGGTAGAAACAACGGTTTGAGCTTAAGTGGAATATTTCATCTCACCAGTTTCTCATCAGTCCTACAAACAATCTAAAAAGAGGTTCTTGTTAAATAATATGCACAGAGGAATTCCTTTTAATGTGCTTGTGTATAATATCAAGATGTCAGTTAACAGGAGACTCTAATAATAATCGAAAGTGTTCAGAAGTTGCACTCATACTCACTTATGCACAGTAAGATGAAATCGAATTCTGAAAAATGCTCGGATACACTGAATAAAAGAGCGTAATGAGGATACAAGATGAAGATAAGTCGAAGATGAGTAACTGATATACTGTGTTACTATATAGTGAGTTCAATAGTAATAGAAAGAAAAAAGACTACAGTCTTAAGAAATAATAAGATTATGCAATGAAATAAAAGGAGGGAATTAAGAAGCGTTGTTCAAGTGTTGGTTTGTAGGGATTTGATTTGGTTACAGGATTTCATCATGAGCTGACATTGGTTAGAGAACCATTGGAGAACCTGGGAGTGCTGGATGACTGTTTCGTCCTAGTTTGGGGCTCTTCATCGGTGCGCAACCACCACAGTGGCGTTCGAACCCAGCACCTTCTGGTTACAAGGCGAGCTCATATACCATTAAGCCACTGGGACCCGATCCAATGGCCCAAGAATTCTAACTTCTGCCAGTTCACGACATAGTGCGACCACTAGCCAATGTCATCGCTGGCAAGTGTTTGTCCTCACACCCTACCTGCTGCACCCTACTGGTCACGACTTCTCACTAGAACCCCAGGTAACTACTTACCTGAATAGGGCAAGTCGCTAGTGAGCATCTCATCGATATTCAAGTGTTGGTTTGTAGGGATTCATCATGCGCTCATGATGAAATCCTCTAAGAAGCGTTGTGTTACCTACCAGAGTGTAGAAAGACTGCTAACTGGTTCTTCCTAAATACATAATTTAGATTCTAAATGTTTGATAGCAATTGCTTCGGTAAACTTGAAAAGCATTGACTTATATTCTCCATTGATTATTTGAAAGGATTTCAAGATAACCACTTCATGACCTGTATCAATGAAGGAGGCTTGATATCGACATTGTTGGAAATGTTTTTGTCCCCTTGAGACCGTAGACTTTTCAGCACATGTTCAGAGAATCTAAGGTATTCTCGTCTTTTCTGTTCTTCTAATGCCACTGAACATAAAGGATCGATACACATGCGTGCAGTATTTTAAATGGAGGCGTGGGTCATTGGTATTAGTATTTGACTTTTTACCAGTGGGTGCTGAGTTCGAATCCCGTTTCCCTTGTTTCGACCAGTGAACAACTGGGTAGTATGATCAGCTCTCACACAATTAGTCTGGAACAGCTGTCTTCACTCCATTCTGAAGATTAGATGACCAGAATGGAACAAACTAATCAGAAACCTATTGCTCAACAAATATGACTAAAAGAAATGGAGATGGATTGGGCACACTCTGAGGAGACCGTTAAGTAACATCGTGTGCCGACTCCTGGAGTAGAACTCGAATAGAAAACGATTCGTTTGGTGTCCAAAGGAGACCGCATGAAGAGGGGATAAAAGCGTATGGACATTAATGGAGGCAGCTGAAGAGGGCAACAGGGAACAGGATGAAATGAAGATTTACTATTGTAGCCCTATGTCCCACTCGGAACCTAAGGGAATAGTAATGATTGATAATAATGATAATAATAGTCTGAAACATCAAAAATCTGTTCCAGGAACTGAGTTTAAACTGAGTACTTTTAAGAGTTGAGATGTGTCAATTAGCCAGTCTGTCTCCCCCCCACCTCCACCCGTTAATTTCTTCCTTTTTCTTATTTAAACTTAATACTTACGATCATAAATCATTCTTTTTCAACTGATATCGATTTATGTTTATTCACTTCAAGAGATTTATTACCTTGAATAAAGTTTCAAAAGTGAGATTACGTAATGTTGTGATCATCACGGTCATCTTTTCCACATCACCCCCTGGTGGTGTTTATAAACGCAGAAAAACCCCCCCAATAACTTTTCACATTTAAAATGACAATCGGAGTGTAAATAAATAATTGAGAAATGTATGAAAGAAGTGAAGAATAATGGGGGGGGTGTATGAGAATTTTTAATTAGTGTCTATTACAAAGACTAGAGTTGTTCTCCAGAATCCTTAAAGAAGAAAGCTTCGGTTTTGTGTAAAAGAAATTCCACTCAAGGGGTTGGATGAGATGAAATGCAATACGTGTTCACATGGTGACTGATATCATCGGTCAAATGAGAAGAAATATTAGCCTGTTTGACCTTTTCTGCACCTCTTAAAGGAAAGTGTACTCAGTCATGAGTTTATAAAGTCTTTCCTAGTAGTCGTAGTTCACCCTGTAATTAGCTTTCTATTGTTACATTTCGATTGTCGACTATGCCGACCAACAAAAATAGTGTTGTATCGTCAATTATATCATGACAAATATTTTTAGTATAAATAGCTGTCTATTCGTGCATGAATTTCAGTAGTGACGAATCTGTCTGCTAGTGGATCTGCTGTGGTGTGTAAGCGTTCGATTTCCAACCTAGTGGGTCTCACGGGTTGGAAACCCTCTCTACGCATAGAGGTTTAGGTAGACCTGAGTGGTATAACTTGTAACTTGTCTTGTTGACGTAGAGTATGCGGATTATATTGTCTTCATAGGGGAACACGCTAATAGAATACAGAGTCTTCTGTGAACACCATTTGAGCAGAAATCTTCTATTGTTTGGCATGCTATTCGCTCCCTTTGTGTCAAATGTAAGATAACGCTGCAGGACTGGAGGACACTGCATCGCCGACTCCTAGCATAAAGATGAGCATGCTGACCACTTCACTTATTTGGGAAGTAGGATTAGCTCCCCAACAGGCTGATGATTGCCAACGAAATCTCAGCACGGATACAAACGGCTGGTGTGAAATTTATCAACTTATGTCACCCGGCTCTATTCACCAAATTACGTGTGTACTGTGCACCAGTTCACTGTGAGACATGACCTTTGGAAGTGGAAGACACAGAAAGACTAATTGTCTTTTACCACAGATATTAGTGTTCTGTTTTTCGTGTTAAGTTGTATAGTAGAGTTAGCAAAATTGAGGTTAGGCGTAGAGTGTTAGGTGAAGAGGATAAACCAATTTAATGAATTTGTGAAGCTACATCGACTGAGAGATGGCTAGACCACTTGTTGTGCATGCCAATCCATCGCTTTCCTCGACAAATAATATTAACCTACATAAAGGTTAGATTAGAAGACAGTTAGGGATGGTCAAATCAAATATCCCGTGTTAGATGGTATAATATGATAATATTGGGGTTATGTACGGAGGGTAAGTCAATCGATGACGTGAAGGTGAATCAATTGAGACAGCTAGGACACGTGTGACGCCATATTGAGCCATCGCTTTGGTCAGTGAACAGCGTTAACGGATATTACATTGAGCTAGAGAAGAGTTTAGGAGTAGTCGAAGCGAAGCCTAGCATCACTTCATGAAATCTTTGACAGTTCCTTTAAACCAGCCATGTATAGACGTGTTGGCCTCCTCGATATGCTAAGAACCAATGGCTGGAAGTTATTTTCAATGATGCAGTTGCATTCACTGTCTGTGATCTCTTATATCTACTAAACTGTCCTGTTTTTTCTTCTATGTTACTGTTCTTTCTCCCGTACATTTCTGTTTATTATCTTTTCTCTCACCCTTTTGTCCACCTTTTTGTGTTATATGGAGTGTTGCAACTTGAAGTACTGAACTTCTGTGCGACGTTCTATCCTGAAATTCAGTCAGTCAGTCAGTGAAATTAGGAGTTACAAGTAGTTGTTGACTGACTGATTGGTTTCAATGTAGAACCACTTTGCACAGATGTGCAGCATTCCGAGCTGACACACTCCATGTACCACACAAAGCAAGAGAAGAGAGTAGAAAGAGAATAAACACAAGTGTGAGGGAAAAACAATAGAATTTTATTGGATATGATAAATCACAAAGAGTGAATACATCTCCGCCAGCCATTGACAACGACGATTTGAAGTCATATCGCCAATTGTCTCCAGCCTTCATTGGTTCTTACCATCCCGAGGACCCCAACCAGTCACGAAGTCTACATCTCCCTACGTGACTGGCTGGCTGGCTGGCTTAAACTAACTGTTGTGGATTTCATTGACTGATGAAGCCATATTTTGACTTGACCACCACTAGCTAGCTCCTTTCCAACCTGATCCATCCTCTGTCAGTCAGCTAACATTTCCCGTCGAGGAAGGCGATCGATGGCGAGGCTAGGCTAGGAATGCGTAACACATGTCCTAAGCATTTCTCTCAATCGATGTAACTTCACAAACTTGTCGATTGATTTCCCCTCCTTTCCAACCACTCGACCGATGCCTAACCTCAATATCGCTCACCTTATCATACCACCTAACACGGGAGATAGATAGAACGCAGACACCTATGATCAAAGACAGCCAGCCAGGCTTTTCATGACCATGTTTCACTCACAACCATAAATGTCGACGGAGCGAACTGCTGTTGAGCAGTAAACACGTTCTTTGGTCGACAGCTAGTCGGATATCACGTCTACTAAGCCAGAGATGGCGTAAGTCGATTGGTAAATGCCAAATGAACCTTCTGTCTCCGTGGTGAGATTTCGTCAGCGATCAACCCATTGGGGCTGACTGATACAACTTCCGAAATAAGTGAAGTGGTCAACACGCTCAACCAATCACTTCACTCCCTCCGTAACTTTAAACTAGGAGTGAGTCGATGTAGTCCAGTGCAGTCGTGTAGCATCTTGTATTTGTTGGGAGCGAATCGCATGTCAAACATTCGAAGATTGCTGCTCCTCAAGGTGTTCAGAAGACTCTGCTTATTTTGTCAGCGTCTTCATCTAGAAGGACTATGTCAACTGAATTGATTTGTCTGTTAATTCCCCCCCCCCCCCCAAAAAAAACATCCGTCACAGTTTGTTTTTTTTTCATCTTTTTGTTATTAGGCTTCATGTTTATCAAATCATCGACGTTTTCATTGTGCTGGTGCTACTGGCAGACCATGTCCTTTCTGTCAACGGTCTTTCCGTTCATCATCCAGTCTACAAATGCATATTCGATGGAAACATCGAGCTGATGCTGCTGCAGCAGTGGCCGCTGCGGCTGCAGCTGCTGCTGCCAGTGGATCATCTTCCCTATCAGAAGCGTTTACACACTTGCCTGGATTAACTACATCGTATGTTCAAACAGCAACGGTGAATGGAATTCCAACAATGTCCTTGAATGGAAGTAAGTGCGCACTGTTTCTTTTTGTATTCCTTTAAGTTCCCAGTAGAACAAGCTTAGGGGCTTGAAGTTTCGGTAGCAGTAGTGTTTATTTTTTTTGAGGCATAGGGTTGCTAGCCTCATACCTAACCTTCCCTCTTCACCAGTCTTATTACTGGCTTAACGAGATGAAGAAGTGCATCGGCCGGGGGTCGAACCCCGGACCACATGAGGCGTGGTTGGCTAGCATTCTACCGCTGTGCCACCAACGCCCAAGTACACACTGTACACACTATATTTTCTAATCGAATTCAGTTTAGTGTTTTGGACCAGATGGTTATCCTAGGCGATTACAAAAACCTCATTATGAATGTATTTTCTAGTGTGTAGGAATTTGATCGGTTTCAAGTCTCGATCATGGATTGATATCAGTTAAAGAGCAAGAGAGAGAGGGAGATAGCTGTATCGTCCTAGTTTGGGACTTTTCAGCAGTACGCACCCATGACCCTGGAAAGGATCGAGGCCAATATCGTTGACTATTTATTTATCCACTTTGCCTGCGGAGTTCAATGTCCCATGAATTCTGCGATTCTAGCCCAGCTTGGTACGGTAGTGGACCTCAGGGGTCACAACGTCTCGCTAGAAGTCCAGTCAACCTCGTGCTTTAGCTGTTGTTAGTCACTAGTGTGAGCATTAGATTAATTTTCAAGAATTGGTTTGTAGAATTCAAAAAGTTGACCAGCTGATGAACAGTCACGTTGATAAATCAATCGATTGCAAACTCTTAATGTGTCATAGTGAGCTTTATTTATACATACAATTCTCATATTTATTTCATCATTCATTTTTACTTGTCTGTCTGTCTATCTATCTCAGGTAATCTTGACCTTGAGAATACAACTCTTCTGTCTTCCGTATCTATAGCCTCATCAAATATGAATAATGTTACTGGTTTAATGGCTCCTATCACTAGTAATAGTGGTGTTAGAATGGATTCTTTATTGGGGGGAACAATGAATATTGGATCACCGAATAAACGAAAATGGCGTCGAAAATCCAAACCGAAACAAGCACAAAATGCTTTTGGCAAATTGGTATGTACTTACTAGTAATATTGGTATTTTATTGGTAAAGATATAATTATTATTTTGATAGTTGTCTTTTTATAAATGCTGGTGAGTGAGTGAGTGCAGGTTCTGCCCTACACCTAGAGAATGCAATCAAAGGATGACTGTGTTTTTGTTTGTCCGATTAGTTTATGTCACTGTACAGTTGCATGAGTAAAATGGCTACACCACATCAATAAACCCTCTTTTGACGGGACACTAGACAGCAACTAAGATCATGCATCTAGTCTCTTTCGTTTGCTGCAGATTGAACTCTGCCAGTCAATTATGCAATTTGGCCAGAATACGCTAGGTGGCTCGTCATTACGGTACACTCTGAAATGTTTATAGATAGTTAAAGGCACTTCGGCAAGGAAGTACTGAACCCTAGGTTATTTCATGCTTATTGGCTGTCATCACAGCAATGCGTATTCGTACTCTTGAAGGAACAACTCATATCCCTTCTGTGATTCGAATCCGGGTTACCTAGTGCTGCAATCAAAGACGTTACTACTAAGTCACATTGCAAACTTGACTGATAGAATTCAGTCTGCGCCAAACGAAGTACTAGGTGTGTGGATATTAGTTACTACTTAGTATCCAATTAAAGTATTCATTACAGTCCTACATGAAGTTGAACTTGAACCCGAATAGTTCTCAATGGTAACGCATCTCTGACTGCAGCACTGGGTTGTCCGGGTTCGGATTTCAGAAGGGTGATATGAATTCCTTCAAGATTGCACATGCTCCTTTGCTGACTAGTGAGTGCCAGGAAACACGAGACCTAGGTGGATGCTACAGGGCTTCCTGTGGCCGATCACCTCCAGCCATCTGAAATCCTAATTTCCAACAGGTTGAAGGGTCAACTTTGATTAGCTCTGTTATCTTGGGATCCTTGCTTCAAGGGCTCTGTGTAGTTATTGAAAGGATTAGTTTGAATAAGAATGATAGTATATTCTACTCACCAATCATATGCGTGTTAATTCATTTGGCACACTGAGCTAAAACTCTTCTCTGGGATGGGTTCTTTTTTATTCCTTTACGTTCCCAGTGGAACATCGAGGGCGTCAAGCTAGAGGCTTGAAGTTTCGGTAGCAGTAGTGTTTATGTTTTACGGGATTGGGGGTTGCTTGCCTCATGTCCAACCTTCCCTCTTTACCAGTCTTACTACTGGCCTAGTGACGTAAAGGGGTGTGTCGGCTGGGGACTGAACCCAGCACCACATGAGGCGTGGTTGGCGAGCATTCTACCGCTGTGCCACCGACGCACTTTGGGATGGGGTGGATGGTTAAAGAAATGCTTCTCATCTGTCCTGGAATCGACAGATGGGGAAGGGTTTGGACCTTTGATACGATTTGAAAAGTCGATTGCTTAATTCAATCAAATAAACCATAGGGTCAATGATGTTTCTTCTGCTATTGTGAGAGTAAAGTAACAAATGCATTCTTGAATCAAATTTATAGAAATGCTGATTTATTCATTCATGCTGCAGACATCTTTTTTCTTTTTGTTGTAATCTATTTTTGGGTGATTAACTGTCACTTGTATTACCTAGAGTAGATTTTGCATGTCACTGGTATTACTACTTCCTTGAGTCCCGAGTAAAACAAGGTTTCAGTAGCACATTTACGTTTCATGCCTCCCCTCCCCCCGCTCTCTGCAGTCATCTTTAACTGGCTTCATGATTAAAAACCATGAGCTTTCATTTCCTTTTCATCCGATATCCTCTACGTCACCCGCTCAGATACCTCACTTGTTGTTTCCCACTCAACTTCTACTCAATGGTCTGGCGCCTGATGTTATTCAACAGTCTCATCAGCTTCTGTCTAAGCCATCTCTTCGTCTTCTTCTTCTGCATATTTGTTTGACAATAGGTTGTTTGATTATTTCACTGCATCATCAGAGAGTTCCAGCCAGCAGCCGGCCAGTCATCCAATCTTCAGTAGGGAGCCAGCTAAGGCGACTGGAAATGCTTCCCATGACGCACCCAATCTCTGAACCACATAGAAACACACCTGACTTGATTGATATTAGTGTTGCAAATCTAAATCTTGTTCCTATATGCTAAGCGTAGTAGATTTACATGACTGATTTCAGAGTGATATATGTGTGTCTTACCTTTTTCTATCCTGTCTATCTTTGACATTCTCATCTGTGCCGCGTGTAGCTGAAACCATACTGCTGCCTAGATAAGTGATAGTGATTGGGATGGTTGTTGTTGTTGTTAGTTAGGTGTCTTCTCTATGTTCCCTTGAAGCCCCGTCTTCGTTTGTAGATCTTTGAGTTTGTGTGACATTAGACGGGCATAGGCCTCGTCCACGAAGTTCAACTCTTCTAGAGGCATCTGCTTGATCCAACGTATGCTTGTCTTCCTTTACCCCCATGTCGTCCGTTGCATAATCCAGTCCACCACAATCAGAAATATCATTACTGTTAGTAGTAGTAGTGGTCAGCCTTGGGTTCATCTCAGAGACGCTTCACTCAGTTTTTCCACTGGAAATCATTTATTGTCCACAGTGATTCATGATACTAATTGATTGATATTGTCCTGATTAAAGCAGATGAAATGGGACTCGAATTGAAAGTCCGGGATCCTACTGGTTCAAAGTTGAGTGGTCAAGTCAGTCAGCTCTCAATCCCCACTATTTCTTAATAATAATAATTATTATTGTTCCCTTGAGTTCCGAGTGGAACATAATGCTTCAGCAGAACGTCTCCACTTTGTTTTATTTCCTGGTGTCCTCTTTAGCTGGGTCCACAATTGCCCATAGTCTCTCATCTCCTTCACGCCACCCTCGGATGACCCACTCGTCGTCGTTTCCTATTCGTGCTCCACTTGAGCGATGGTCTGGCACGCGATGTCATTCGATCGTCTCCTCAACATATATATATGCCCAATCCATCCATCTCCATTTTCTCCTACAAATTTGTTGAGTAATCGGCTCTCGCTTTGTTGGTTTGTTCCCAGCCGGGCAGAGTTTCTTGTTGCTAATTCTTTCTGCAGTTAGTTGTCCGGAATGCTTTCCATTGCGCACCAATTTTCTCACCCATATAATATAGTAATAATAATAATAATAATATTAATGATAATTCTCTCTCTCAGCTGGTCAAAATTAACAAAACTCCACACTCTTTATATATTTGATCTATATATGCAATAAAATTTGTCATCTTAATCATTCATCATACTCTTATTCGAGAAAAAAATACTCACACGCACGCACGCACACATACACACACACACACACTTTAACTGTCTATAATTGTAGAAAGAATAACACACTTCAAGTATAGTTAGTCAGTTAGTTGTCAGACTTTAAACCTAATAAAACAAACAAACAAATAAATAAATCATTAGGTGGGTCGATGGGGGTGATTGATTTTCTTGTCGCTGTTGTTGTTATTTAAAGATCATCATCATCATCATTCAACTGTTGATTTATTACACTTTTAGTTAGTTAAAGTGTATCCATCTATCTGTCTGTACGTCTCTTGTATAAGAAGAAGAATAGTGATGACACTTGCTGTGGAAATTCATCTGTAATGTAGATTGTCATCGTCGTCGTCGTACTAGTAGTAGTATCGTCTTTATTTTGATTGGACACTAGTCAGTAACTAGTGTGATGTGTCTAGTCCTTCGTGTTTGGTGCAGACTGAATTCTATCAGTCAGGTTATGAATGGTTGGAGGCAATCGGCCACTGGAATCCTCGTCTGACTTATGTTTCGTGCTAGTTTTCGCTCACCAATCAGCAAGGCGTATCTACAACCTTGAAGGAACTCGTATTCCAGCCTGAATAGCCTAGGAGTGACATTTCAGACTGCAGCACTGGGTGACGCGGGTTCGAATCTCAGTAGGGACATGAGTTCCTCCAAGGTAGTTGCAGGTACGCCTTGCTGACTGGTGATTGCCAACTAGCACGAAACCTAGATCGAGTAGGGCTTCCTGTGGTCGATTGCCTCCAACCATCTAATATCATAGTATCGTCTTTATTCAATGAAGAATACGGTAGAATTAATGAGAATAATAACGGCAAAGACAGAGATAGAGAGAGACAGAAAGGGGATCGTTTGACCATGTCTTTAGCTATTATTTCAGTCAATTCAGCTTCATAATATCATGCATGGTTGACTTTCCCTCATTACCTCCAACGTTGTCACGTTGTCTGTGTAGTTCTTCCACTTTCAAACGGCTGTATGTCACAGCCATAAAGAAGGATAGAGTTAACCCGTGTTGGAGAGTATGCATGTCCTGTGATGATCGAAAACCGGAGTAGATTATGCATTTTTGACTGACTATTCGTTGAGTCAATGAAATCACGAATAATATCGTGACAACTATCCAACTGCTTTCTACTAGTTATCTCTTTTTTACTTATATTCATGATTTTTTTTTGAAATATTGGATGTAACTGTGCTCTAGAACTGACCGTTAGAGATGGATGTACCTGAGACGTTTGTAAACATCCTGAAAGCCCTATACAGAAATACCTCAGGTAGATTGAGGAAATAAAACCAACCATCATCACTGTTCCCAACAAACAGTCGGATTAGACAGGGTTGCCCGATCTCTGGAGTTCCGGAGTCAGCTATGGATGACGTGCCATGGCATACAGGCTGCCCAAATCACACTTAATCAGTTAGCGATCATTGTCTGTAAGTATGGTATGTGCTTTGCGCCGTCTAAGTGCAAAGTACTGTTACAAGATTGGCAGGCGCCTGTACCTGCACTCACTCTTGCGGATGAACCGCTTGAAGTTGCCGATAAGTTTGTGTATCTGGGTAGTTGTGTGAGTGCTGGCGGAGGGGTGATGGATGAGTTTTCCAACCGTATCAGGAAAGCTAGGGTGGCTTACGTCTACTTGAACCACCTCTGGCGCAGTTGCGACGTCAGCCTGGCTGTCAAAGGTCGGGTATACAGTGCTTCGGTGCACGCTGTCTTACTCTACACCTGTGAAACCTGGCTTATTCGAGCTGAAGATGCACGGCAACTCTGCGTATTCTATCACCGCTGTCTCTGTAGAATTGCTTGCATTCAATGGTATCATCGTGTGAGTAACTCTGAGGTCTGGTGGCGTGTATGTGGACACAGTGGAGATCACCATTCATTGAGTGTCGTCATCTGGAAACACCGGCTTCGGTGGCTCGGACATGTGCTACGAATGTCATCCTAGAGACTTCCGTACAAGTCTCTGTTCGCTAGCCTTGAGATGAGATGGAAAAAGCGGAGAGGTGGTTAGCCCATGACGTGGCGTCGTGGGATGAAGGATATTTGTGTTAGGTTAGCATCGGTTGGTACGTCACGTCTACCTGGTTGGGTCTGAGAGACAGTAGCTCGAAACGTTATCGGATATGGCCAAGAATCGCAATCATCAATAGCAAATGTGCTGCAATTTCCTTCTTTCTTCCCTTTCCGACGATGATTGATTGACGAATGCTGTTTGAACTTGTTAAATATGACTGTTATCCTCCAACGAAGTACTTTATCCGTTCTCTGTCTATATTTTTTTACTTTTTATCTCATATATTGTTTTATTATTGTGTGGCGTATCTTCTTGGTGTCATATTGTACGACGTTTTTTGTATTTGAATAAGTTGAAAAAATAATATTTAGTTTAAATGTTTTTTATTGATCAGTTTCAGTTGAATTTCATAGTGTTTCTATCCTGTCTTTTTTTCTTAACTAAAATTGTAGACTGGTGATGGATTGAATATCTTGGCTGGTATCAATTTAAGTGAAGGCATTGATGTGAATGCTGCTGCAGCGGCAGCAGGAGCAGCTGCAGCTGCTATCGGTGGTCCTGTCCCATTGGATCGTAAAGGTCGACCGTGTAACTACCCGTGTCCAGCATGTCCACGTCGTTTTGCTTTCCAATGTCGTCTTGCCGCCCATCTTCGATGTCATACAAATATTCGACCGTTTATCTGCATTGATTGTGGTCGTGCATTCACTCAACGCGGTTATCTAGTTCGTCATGCAGCTGTACATAAATTGGATAGACCATTCTCCTGTGGATTATGCGATCGATCCTATAAACATTATGGTTCATTGGTGAATCATCGAAGGACACATAGTAAAAATAATTCATTAAATTTAAATAATATAAATCTTTTATCCAACCTTGGAACAATCACTTCCAGTTTAGAAGAGGTAGTCAGTAATGCATTGGATGCAGGGCATAAAACAGACACATCGGATGCCATGGGTGGTGGGGGCGTCGGTGGCAATAATGGAGGTGGTGGTACTACAACAATCACTCTATTACCTGTGAGTAAAGTTGAAGAAATTCTACCAAACGATTTGAATAGCTCAACATTACAACAAGTCTGTCTAACCGATTCACAACAACAACAACAGCAACATGATTGTGAACAGGTATCTTCGCATCAGTTGACAGCAACAGCTGTTTGGCCAATTCTCGCCACTACAGGCGGCGGCGGCGGTGGTGGAATGATGAATCATCTTTCACAAGGTCAATTAATTCAATCACCTGGACAACAACAATCACGACAAGGTGGTGGTATTGTGTCTGGTGGTTCACACTTTTCTACAATCACTATTTCACCGACAACACAAATAGTTCAAGCGACATCAGGTCAACTACATCAATCCTTAGTCCCCGCATCATCATCGTCATCATTATCTCAACATCAGCTCCAGTTGATTGCTGCATCGACTAGACCTCAGACAATTAGTTCTACTACTGGTGGCGGTGTCAATACAACTTCAACATTTGTAACCACTCTACCAGTATTCAATGGTCCATCACAGAATGGTAATAATAATAATAATATTAATACTGCTGTGACTACAACTACTTCGAATAATAATAATAGTAATATGAGTGAAACAGATCGATCACTTAGTAATAGTAATAATAATAATAATAATGGTCAATTAACCTCATCACATTCACATCATCATCAACAACAACAACAATTTCATTGTCCAGTTAGTACACTGGCAGATTCTTCTTCACAGCAGCAGCAGCATCATTTACAACTTTCACAACAGCAACAGCAGCAGCAACACAATCAAAATCCACCTCAAACACAGAGTAATAATTCATCGGGGACTGGTGGCGGCGGCGATTCAAACAACGGTAATAATAACAATAATAATAATAATAATAGTAGTAATAGTAGTAGTAACAATGTTAATAATACCGCTCCTGTATTACACGTTCTACAACCCTCTCCAAGCATTTTCTTCTCACCGTATTATCTACCACATTCGGCAGCATCTCAAATGTAAAAAAAGTACACGGAATCAGAAGAAGTATGTGTGTGTATGTGCGTGCGTGCGTAGGTGCGTACGCGTGTGTGTGTATGTATTTATCTATTAGAATTTCTACTCATCCATTACGAGGGAAAAATAACTCACTGCTGATTGCTATACATATATATTTATATTTTTTCTTATCTATGGATGTTGTTTATACACAAGGGAGTGGAGGAGAGAGACAGTTGATGAAATGATGCAACAGGGGGAGCACTACTCACCTACCTGCCTACCTACCACCCACGCACCAAACTAGCTACATGGTGGTGGAGATGATGTTGTTCCCCTCCAAATCCTTGCGGGTTTTTTTCTTTCTTTTCTACTATTTGAGCGAAATCCTTGTTTAATTTCTTTTGTTTCTTTTGTAATTTTATGTAATCATTAAGAAGATGGTGGTGAGTAGCGTTCGTATGTGTGTGTGTGTATGTATTTATATGTAAACCTATAGACATTCAATTGTGTAATTTTTCTTTTCACCGGCAAATTTTCGCGGGTAGTATTCATTCACAGTATCACTATATCATGATTATTATTATTATTATGTAACTATTATTACTATTACTATTGCTGTGTAATCATTATTATTATTGTTATTATGAATCAATTATCAATGAATAATTAATTAATTAATTATGTGATCTTTATTATTACTATTATTTTATTTGTTTTTTATGTATTTTTATTGAATGCTGACGTATTATTGTTTTCAATGTCTTTTTCTTATTATTACTACTATTATTATTATTTCACATATGATTGTAGCTTTTTAGACAAATGTGAGAGGGGTGGACTTTTACTACTCTCTCTCTCTGTTTGCCCCTCCTGCTCCCACTAAATATTTGATAACTAATTCCTCCCCCCCTATCTATCTATTATGATCTCATTGAAATTTCCCTTGTTTTTTCCACGCGCACACACACACACGCACACAAAGGAGGGTGGGGGAGAGAGGGAGAAACAGCTCAGATCCAATCTGTATACATGTAATGCACATTGTGAAATAGGAAATGCATTTCTCTTTTTGCCTCTTTTTTATGTCAATGGTTTTTTCTTAACTTTCTTAACAAATTAGAATGTATTTTAATTTATTATAAACCTGGGGTGGTTGGTGGTTTAATCATAATGGAGTCTTAAGCGAATGCACCTGATGATGCACGCTGATGACGACAACGACAGCAGAGGATAAGAAACACCAACTGTAACACTATGGCAAATCATCTAAAACAAAGAGTGTGTACAATCACTGTGATGAATAGTGTATGTGTGTGGTTGTGTGACTGTTGATTGTCATCCCTGATCTCCACCACCATATCAATATCGCAATTCGTAGAATGACATGATTGTTAGTGAGTGTGTCTGTGTGTGTTTGCGTGTGTCTATATGTGCGTTGTTCTAAAACTCCTCAATTCCATGCTGTCTTCTTTATTTTTTTTTTTTGATAATGAATTTCCTTCTAATCTTGTTTTTATTTGATTTTTTAATTTCCCCCTCCCCCCTCTTACTTTTAATTTTGTTTTTCTACAAAAAGAATCCACAGAGAATCTCATCCAATAATCAATAATCCCTCATTTCCTGAAGGTGGGGATGTGGTGCGGGAGAGAAGAGTAGGCAGGCGATTTGCTGGTGGAAACAAGGACTAATTTGACTGATGTTATGCAATGTTGATGTCGCCTACTACTGAAACCTTATCCTACACACAACCACCTTGTGTACCTCCCCCCTCTCCGCGCGCGTGTATGTGCGCATGCGTGCGTGTGTATTTCTACTGATCTCCGTTTCTTTCCACTGAATCAGCTTGTTTTTGTCTAATATTTGTGCGTGTATCACATATGTATATTTCTTCTCTTTTATTATTATTATTAATTTTTTGTGGTTGATCGAATGGTATATATATAAATGTATAATGTGTGTGTAAAATTTCCTTCGTCCTTTTTTGTTTTTCATATGTAATTTTGACCCGCCCCCTCCCCAGTCTCTTCCTCTCTCTCTCGTATCACACATGTACACACACTGTCACCGGCCTTTGTTTTCTACTCAACTCTTCTCCCACGGAGGCTGGGTGGGTGTGTGTAGCTCAATTATGATGAAATGTATTCACTTCTTGTAGTATATATTTGTAATCAATCATTTTACATCACAGCAACATTATCATCCTCCTCATTATCATCCTCAGTAAATTGTGTTGATTATCATGATACTACTCAAGAAGTCTGATTGATATCATTCATTTTGTTTTTGTATGTGTGCGTTTGTGTGTGTCTTCTTGACCTCAGCAGCAGTCTTTTTCAAGGTGAAGCGATTCTAAAGTCTCATTCTCTGTATTTATGTATGTATGGAGTGTGTGTGTGGTAACTACCACGACTACTAACACTATTTCAGTAGTCCATACACTTTCCACCTTCATTGTGTGTCATCCAACCGCCTATTCAACGATTAATAGAGTGTCTTTTGATTTTTTTAAACAATATAAATATATATATTTCTTTTTTGTGGGGTGGGGGATTCCATGTTTTCTTACGTATTACATAATATATTAGTATGTATATTGCAGTATCTACCCGCATTTTCCCATTTACCCGGTACATATAACTATACATATATACATCATACAAACGTAAACAAATTGCTTTTATACTCATATATATATATTTATGCACATACACACCCACGCAAAGATGTATTCTTTTGATTACAATGCATCGTGGCTATTGTTTTCCACATGCACACACACACGGAACTTTCTACTTTTCTTTTGTGTGTGTGTATTTGTATGTACATGGAGTCACACGAACACACAAGAACAATTTTATTGATTAATTCATTTAGTGTCTTCCTAATCAACAGTCCGTCCTTTCACCCCCCCCCTCCACCCACGCAAACGTATTATTATTGTTGCTGCTGTTGTGGGGTTGAACAAGGCAAAACAACAATCACAGTATCAGCCTATGTGTGTGTGAAGGGGGGATATTATTGCTGCCGTCGCCTCATTTTGATCTTGGCTCCTCCTCCTTCATCTCTTCCATCCAGTATATTATGACTAACTTCATCGGATATATATGTATGTGCATCCGTCCGTCCGTCTGTCTGTCTGTCGATGAACAACAGTGAAAGTGGAATAAGCCTTTGAGAACTATGAAGTTCCTTACTTCGATATATATATACACAGACATGCGTACACACATTCTGCACAAAAGTAGTTGACGCATATATATATTTCAGTATACCTTTTATAGAATTGGATGGTAGATATCATTCATTCTCTGGTGTGTGTGTGTGTATGTGCGAGTGATGATTCCTATACATACTTTATATTTGTTTAAATGCGTGTAAAGCAAGCATCAATTGTATAATATGCTTGCTTTCTAAACATACTTCTCCTTTCACTCAACTCAATCACTCACTGGCCTCCCCCTCTGTCTCTCCCACTCTTTGTATCTTTACTTGTTTCTCTGTATAAAAAAGCATTTTCCCTTTGTCTCTTTCTCTCTCCCTGCCTCCCTCCCAATGTGTTATTATTATGATAACTGTTGGTTGGTTTTGTATTCGCCTACTCCTCCTCAGCTGGCTCCTCCTCCTCGTCTACCACCTTTTTTCCCTTTTCTCTTTGTTTTCTATTTGTAATGTTTCTTCTTTTCTTTTTGCTTAACTGTTTAGGCGGTAAGTCGTATTATAACTATTTATTACCACTCTATTACTACCAATACTAATACTATTATTATTATTATTAATATTATTAAGGCATTATTAATGATATTCATAGCAAAAATGTAAACAATTGAATATATATACATATATATACGTATACTTTATTAAATCATTTCTATTTATCCTAGGCAATGTTGTTATAGCGGTCATTTTTATGTTTATAAAGCATTCAGGGGGGGCGGGTATTGTTTGTTTGTTTGCTTGCTTCAGAGAATGTGTGTCCAGGGTTTGAATTCTGTCTTCCTCACCTCAGCATTTCAGCTTCAATCACAACTATGCCTTCACCTGCACCCTGGACTGTAAGCTATATCATCTTAGGTCATTGGTGTGTGTGTGTGTTTACTAACCAAGTTGAGTAGTTTTTCAGTCGATGTATCCTGGTTTCTTCAGCTTAGATTCTGTGTGTGTGTGTGTGTGATGTTGTAGGTGATTGGTGTTCATTAGGCCGTTGAGTTTTTTTTCAGATGAGATGTCCCGAATTCGAATCCTATTCCCATCGCAACTACTTCGGCCCGGATTGTGGGAGATATCGTAGCTCATTGGTATTTATTAGGTACTAGAGATCTTTTCCGATACTAGTGTGTCCTGGGTTCGAATCCCTTCTCCCCAGCCCAGCTCTAATTCAACCTAGGGCGACGTGTGAGCGATGCTGCAGGTCATTGGTGTTTCTAATTATTGTGTTCAGGGTTTGAATCCCTTACCCCCCCCTCACGTCTCTCCAGCCTGGATTGTAAACGATATTTATAGGTTGTTCGCGTTTTTCAGTCGATGTGTCTCGAGTTCAAATTCTGTTCCTACCAGTTCTCCAGTGGCCTCAACTACTCCAGCTTGAATTGTAGTATCATTCGTATTTACTCTCATCATAGGCTTGGTAAACGTGGAATTTATTCGGTGCAACGGTAATGGGAAGAGGCAAGAGACTCCTTTTATTAAGGAAAAAACGCCCCATATTTATACACTTTTGGCCACATTTGAGGTTGGTCAGAGATCAGCGGATAATCCACTGTTCTGATTGGCTGGCGATTTTCTGAAGGTTACACCTTGAGGTGAAAAGTTATTTCCTAACCACAACGCAAACTATCAAATCCAGATTCCTCTACAGCTATTGACTTAAAATGTTGTTTACAATTTTAGCTACTTCCTATCATATAATTGTTGTCAGTAACACACGTCACATAACTAAGTTCTGAGTATGAGTGATCTGTCTTGCTGAGTAATCTTAAAAGAGATAAGCAAGGAAATAACATTTGGTATTAGCTGCATAAAAGACGTGGTGGTGAATAACGCTTTGATGTTTGAAATGATGTAGTGCTGGTCTCGAATGTTATTGGGAACACTAAC